TCAAGATCTCTCTTCATAAAATCTGACTAAAAAACTTCCCACAATTTTGATTTCAGTCTTACCTTGTGATCTTGTCTTGATTTCTCCCCTAAACAGTTACAGCTTTTTCTCTGCTCAGAGCTCCTGCAGGCTCTTTTTATTACCCAGAGGTTGGCAGAGAACCAAATGGCCTTAGAAGGGCCATCTGGGCGGGTGAGATTTTAGTCAGTTTTTAACTCACTTCTCAAGAGCCAATAACATTGCAATATTGCTAAATCTAAGATTCATGACTTTCTGTGTTCTCCTCTGCCTTTCTTTTTTGCTTTTGGGATAGGGTCTCTGTTGCCCAATCTGGCCTGGGAATCAAGAACTTCCTGCCTTTGTAGAGGCATATACCACCATGCCCTTTCATCTCCTCTGTTTTTATTTTAAATTTTAATCTGCAGTGATGAATTTTATGTTCCATTTTTTTCTTTTTCTTACAACTCACATTAGAATTACCTAACAGGAAATTGCTCTCCTCTGCCCATCTGCAAGTTCCAACTCTTCTTTGTTTCCACACCTCATGACTTGGCTCCTGAACCCTGAAACTTCTAAGTTAAATTCCAAAACTTTACCTTTGGCACTTTCATATTGAAAGTCTTTTGCCCTTTGTATTTTCACTTTGGACCATTGGTTTCTTAAATTGCAATCTTCATTAAGAGGTCAATTAATGCTTCCACATTCTTTTATAATAAGGTCACTTCCTCTTGCTTATCAGAAATACACAGCTTATCTGTAAATAAAAGCTCTCAGACACTTTTATGCATGTCAATATACATCATCTGCCCTCCTACTCTGATCACAATGCAATTAAACTAGTCATTAAAACTAGTTTAATTTATTAATTAGTCAATAATAAGATTTCCCTAAATCACCATTAGTTGAAGAATGCAGACCAGGAAAGAAGTCAAACTTCATTAGGACAATTAGATTAAGGTAACTCTTTCATAAGGACTTAGGTTTTAGTCAAGGCAATAAAAGTTTGGTCCTCGTATAGACCAGACTAGCTACTTTAAAGAATAGACAGTTTTCCACCGATAAGTAATGTGTAAAAATTTCAGTGTAGACTAATCTAGAGTTGAAGCAGCACCATGCCCTTTTTCCCCCTTTTAAGCATCTAGTACTCCCTCCCAGTGGACTCTGAGCAGAAGTCAGGGCAGGTTCCTTCGTGACAGCCATACAAAGTCTCAGATGGCAGGTTACAAAACTCTGGATGATCTGGGACTTGGAGGTGGCATTATATAGTGGGGAGTGAAGGGTGGATATGTCTTAAGGAAGGGGACAGAAACACCAGATACTGACACAGAGAAAGTTCTGTGAGGAGAATATGATTAGATTGAGAGGAAAGTGGGGAAAGAGAGAAACTGAAGGATAGAAGAAAGACATTCTTAGAACATCCTACCTTTCCCACATAATACGAAGAGCGAGTTCATGCCCTGTGGCCCATTTCTCATTTTCTTTAAAAAAGCGCTCTTGAGAAAATCAATTAGTGAAAACTCTAGTGGAGGTTTACTCACTAGTGTTAGGATGTAAAGAGAATGGAGGTGGCATCTGGAAGACTAGTCTGCCCAGCATCCTTCGTGCCCCTTATTCATAATCACTGGGCAGAATTTAGTATACTGAATTGTAGATTTGTGAGGGGAGAGCACTGACCAACAGACAGCTACTCATCCTGGGAGATCAGAAAGTTAGTATTTGATTTTATTCCCAACCTCTTTGCTAGTTTACTCTTTCATTTTTTTAAAGATGTTTTATCTATTATGTAGCCCTGCAATCATAGCCTTAAATACTTGCCTAAATATTTTCTTATTGGTTGGTACATATTTTTTCAATAAACAAGTGAGTATTGACAAGTTTCTTTCTTTCTTTTTTAATTCATTTATTCACACGTGCATACATCGTTTGGGTCATTTCTACCCCCTACTCCCCCCCCCCCCCCCCCCCCCCCCTCACTCCCAGGCAGAACCTGTTCTGCGCTTTTCTCCAGTTCTGTTGAAGAGTAGAAATAAGCAGTAATAAGAAAGGAAATAGTGTTTTGCTAGTGAGATAAGGATAGCTATACAGAGAGATTCCTAGCTTTGCTTTCATGTACAAATGTGTTACAACCCAGGTTGATTCATCACTAACTGATCTTTACACTGGTTCCTGATCCCCATTTCTTGTTGACCTCTGTCGCTTTAAGGTTTCTGTATTAATTCCTCTGAAGTGGGGACATCAAATGCTTTCAAGTTTTGGGTTTCCTACCTATCCCCATTCCTCCCATATGTGCTCTCCCCTTGTCATGTGACCCAAGTCCTACAACATTGCTGTATTTGCCCTAGAGCTAAAGACCACATATGAGGGAGAACATACGATTTTTGGTCTTCTGAGCCTGGCTAACCTCGCTCAGAATGATGTTCTCCAGTTCCATCCATTTACTTACAAATGATAAGATTTCATTCTTCTTCATGGCTCAGTAAAATTCCATTGTGTATAAATACCACATTTTCTTGATCCATTCATCAGTAGTGGGGCATCTTAGTTATTTCCATAACTGGCTATTGTGAATAGCACAGCAATAAACATGGGTGTGCAGGTGCCTCTGTAATAACCTGTGTCACATTCCTTAGGGTATATCCCCAGGAATGGGATTGCTGGATCATATGGCAGATCTATGTTTAGATTTTTAAGAAGCCTCCAATTTTTTTCCAGAGTGGTTGTACCACCTTGCATTCCCACTAACAGTGTATGAGGGTTCCTTTTTCCCCACATCCTCGCCAACACTGTTGTGGTGGTGTTTTGATGATGGCTATTCTAACAGGAGTGAGGTGGAATCTTAGTGTGGTTTTGATTTGCATTTCATTTATGGCTAGAGATGGTGAGCATTTTTTCATGTGTTTTTTGGCCATTTGAATTTCTTCTTTTGATAAAATTCTATTTAGTTCAGTTGCCCATTTCTTAATTGGTTCATTGATTCTGGGAGAGTTTAGTTTCTTAAGTTCCCTGTATATTCTGGTTATCAGTCCTTTGTCGATATATAGCTAGCAAATATTTTCTCACTCTGTGGTGGTCTCTTCAGTTTAGAGACCATTTTCTTTTTGTGCAGAAGCTTTTTAATTTTATGAGTCCCATTTGTCATCTTTCTCTTAGTTGCTGGCTGCTGGGGTTCTATTGAGGAAGTCCTTGCCTATACCTATTAGTTCCAGAGTGTTTCCTGCTCCTTTCCTGTACTAACTTCAGAGTTCAGGTCTGATATTAAGGTCCTTGATCCATTTTGAGTTGATACTAGTACAGGGTGATAACATGGATCTAGTTTCAGTTTTCTTGCAGAGGATAACACTTTTCCCAGCAACATTTGTTGAAGAGGCTGTCTTTTCTCCATTGTATATTTTTGGCACCTTTGTCAAAAATGAGGTGGGTATAGTTGTGTGGATTCATATCTGGGTCTCTATTCTGTTCCACTGGTCTTCATGTCTGTTTTTGTGCCAGTACCATGCTGTTTTTATTGCTATTGCTTTGGTAATATAGTTTGAAGTCAGGTATTGTGATACTCCAGCATTGCTCTTTTTGCTGAGTATTGCCTTGGCTATTCGGTCTCTTTGTGTTTCCAAATGAACTTTAGGGAGATTTTTCAATCTCTGTGATGAAAGTCATTGGGATTTTGATGGGAATTGCATTAAACATGTAGATTGCTTTCGGTAGTATAGCCATTTTTACTATGTTGATTCTACCAATCCATGAGCATGGGAGATCTTTCCATCTTCTGTAGTCTTCCTCGATCTCTTTCTTCAGGGAGTTTGTAGTTCTCCTTGTAGAGGTCATTCACATCCTTTGTTAAATTTACTCTAGTATTTGATTTTTTTTGAGGCTATTGTGAATGGAATTGTTTCCATTATATTCCTTCTCAGTTTGTTCATATTGGTGTTATAAAAGCTAATGATTTTTGTAGTTGATTTTGTTATCCTGCCACCTTACTGTAGTTGTTTATGGTGGTCTAGAGTTTTTGGGTAGAGTTTTTTGGGTCTTTAAGGTATAGGATCATATCATCTGAAATAGGATATTTTGACAGTTTCTTTACCTATTTGTATTCCTTTTATTTCTTCTTGTTGCCTAATTGCTCTGGCTAGAATTCCAGTACTATGTTGAATAGGAGTGGGATAGTGGGCACCCTTGTCTCTTCCTGATTTTAGGGGAAATGGTTTCAGTTTTTCACCATTAAGTATGATGTTGGCTGTAGGTTTGTCATAATAGCCTTTACAATGTTGAGTACATCCTTCTATTCCTAGTTTTCTTGGAGCTTTTATCATGAAGTGGTGTTGGATCTTATTGAAGGCTTTTTCTGCATCTATTGAGATGATCAAGTGGTTTTTATCTTTGCTTCTATTAATGTGCTGTATTACATTTATAGATTTGCATATGTTGAACCACCCCTGCATCCCTGGGATGAATCACTCCTTCATTTGGTGATAGATGTGATTCTGAAGGAAAGCACTACTTATTAAGTGAGTAGTACCAAGATTTACAGCTGTGGAGTCTGTTGATAAATCTTGTGGTTTTGTTTTGTGGAAGTCATTGACAGAGGTCAAGTACCCTCTCTCATTGTCAGTTCCTGGAATAATCCATAGGCCATACTAATTCAAAAATAGGAGGTACTTAGTGTTAGAATGCCCTGTCTCTTCTACATTTAGACCTCAGACAGCTCTATGGCAGAAAGAGTCTTTCCATGCACTTGACAAATTCGATCTGACTCAGTAGTTCTCAAACTTTTCCTACAAGCAGAAACATTTTCTCAGCTAAAATCTTATCAAAAGATTCACACATGTCAGCATATAAGT